TACTAATTTATTCATAAATAAATTTAATTTACAGTCTTACATGTTAACATTTATCAAAAACAAAAATATAGAATACTTCACAAATTTGTGTGTCATCCTTACACAGGGGCCATCTCAATTTTAGTAGATGTGCTGCCAAAGTGAGCACTTCGGTTCCTCCTTGTCCCACCTTTAAGTAAGCATCACGGTGAGATTTCCAAGCCCAGGGATTTCCCTGAAACTCAAAATGTATTGCCAAAATGTTTTTTTTATTTCATTTGTTTCAAGTATGTTTTTAAAGTCAATATAACACTCCTTTCAAAATTATAACCGGTACAAATGGGCAAGATGTGATTTAGCAGCTCAGAGAGAAAAGATGTTGCAGTCTTCACTTGGTATGGGTGAACAGTATGAGTGGCTACAATAAGACTGATATAACCTGAGGCTACATGGAACAGAGTCCGAGTCAGAGGAGAGAGCAGGCTGGCTTACTTGTACACTGCACTGGCATGCAAGAAAAAAAAATCTAAAAGCTAAATCAGGCTCCACAAACTGAAACCCAGACAGGGGAGCATGGTCTTAGTGCCTGGAACGGAACAAAGCAGCAGAGGAACCCATGAAGGCCTGAGGGGTGTTCAGCCTGGAGAGGAACAGACGTGAGGGATGCAGAGGCTGATACCTGGCAGATGGGACCTATCAGGGCAATGTGACCTCAAACACAGAGCTAAGACCAAAGATGGAGTAGAGGCAGATTTCTGCTCAGTGGGACTAAACGCTAATTGTGTATCAGCGAGGGCAGTGAAGCTGTGTGAGCATATCAAAGAAGTGTTAGTTGGGGAGGAGGATGCCAACCAGGTATCCAGTATTCTTGTAAGTACCTTCTGGTGAGTGTCCAGCCCTGAGCCCAGCTGAGCTGTAGGGAGATCCATGATTGTACAAACCTACATGACCCCCAAAGCATCAGCATAACTGAGTTAGGAACTTTAATTTATTTAGTTCAACCTTTACCAGCGGTTCTCAACCTGTGGGTCGTGACCTCTTTGGCGGTCGAACGACCCTTTCACAGGGTTCGCCTAGGACCATCCTGCATATCAGATATTTACATTACGATTCATAACAGTAGCAACATTACAGTTATGAAGTAGCAACGAAAATAATTTTATGGTTGGGTCACAACATGAGGAACTGTATTTAAAGGGCCAGAAGGTTGAGAACCACTGCAAGAACCTGATGTTGCACGCCCTCTGCTGGTCATTCCTTGCACTGTCCTCTCACCCAAGGCAAGAAATGACCCCTTGAGCTTATGGTACAGGTCAGTGTAGATTCAGAACATGCAGGGAGATGCCAGACAAGTACCAGAGCGTTAGATCGCTGGTCATTGTTCAATCAAAGTACAGGATCAGAACTGAATCTTCGGATGAGTTCGAAAATCTGTATCTACATGAGGGCTCATTCATATCTAGGAGGAGGGCTCACACTGAGGCTGGGTTTGGCAAACTGTCTGGTTCAGGACTAAGACTAAGGCCAAAATTAGGACTCAGTGTGGGACTGAAGTCTAGGCTCAGGTGTCAGCATGAAGTATGTATCCAGGTGAGATGCTATGGGTCTGACCTCAGGAAGAAGTCAGTCTGCATCCAAGGTAACAGGATCAATGTAGCGTTCCTGTTCCAGGTGGAAGCATCAGGTGATAAGCACCAGCACCGGAAAACGCAGCACAGATATTGCCAGGGAATAAATATAAAGTATGGGGGACAGAATGAGGTAGTCACTAATTTCTAAAGGCCTCCCAACCTTAAAGATAGTAATGGGCAAGCTAGAGCCCCCTCTCTCCTCAGAAGGTAAGTCTCAGTATTCTAGTTCCTATTAAAGCCCCCTACCAACCCTAGTACTGTCACATACAAATCATAAGTACAATCTGGGGACCGGAGAAGTCAAAGGGCTAGTCCTGTCACTGCAGAGAGCTGGCAGCTGTGGGGGTAGTCTTCCTTTCCCCCAGGGTTCTGTTTCTACTGGCAACAGTGCCTGGCAGCCTCCCACACCCAGATCTTAGCAACCAAGGGAGCCCCTGGCAACTGCTGCCATGGTAACAAGACAGGGAACTGAGCATGGGATGGAGGGGGAGCACTTCCCCTGAAGCTTTTAGGATATGTGCAAGATAGGGGGCTCCCCCTCCCATACACAGTCTGGGACGGAACATGTGCTCCTGTCTACCTCCCCATTGGCACCCACCCCCACGTGTGCCCCCAGGTTTCCGGTTCCTTCAGGGTGAGGAAATGAGGAACACCTAGGATTATGACATCCCATGGGGAGGGAGGGTAAATGGGGTGCTTGGAACTGACAAGATCACAGATGCATGCATACACCAGCAGACACGATGTCAGTGTGTCAACAGCCATGAAGCCACACTTCACTCTTTGTCATACAGACACAGGCTTACACAGTCATTTCATCACACGTGCACACTAACACAAATCACACACCTACAGCAAATAACACAGAGTCAGGCACACTACCACACAAAACTAATTGCACACACACACTCTTGCTCACAAATTGCATTACAGATATAACAGTACAAATAACTCCCAACCAGACAACCATTCACAGATGCACTCACACACCCAGATATCTGTGAACGTTCAGGCTAACAGTTAATTTTGTGAGGATTATTTATTTGCCAGGCTCAGAACTAGGTGCATCATGTGTTACCTTAATTAACCCTCACAATAATCCCATGAGGTACTGCTGTTGTCCATCCCCATGTTACAAAGAAGAAAATGAGGCACAGATGTGGCAAGTAACCTCACGAGGCCCACCATCTGTCTCCAGAGCTTCCATTTTTCTGCCCTAGGCCTCACCCTGACTCCTCACACACACACGCTTGACACACCGGGGCCATAGGGAACCCAGCAGACAATGGAGTCCGTGCCACCAATACCTGAACGCACAGCCCTGAACCCTCAGAGCGCTAAGCCTACACGTTAGCATTCACAGGGACCAGGTTAAGGGCCGGTGACTAAATGTTCTGCCTCCGTGTTGGCACAGGCAAGGCTGGAGGAGGCAAAATACACAACTGGAATAGGAGGAAACAGAACCACCCACAAACCAGGCCCCCAAGAGTCTGGAGTTAGGGGAGTGAGAGCCTCCAGAGCTAAGGAGACAGCACCAGTCCTGGCTCCCTTATCCTGCTTTGCCCATCTCCATGTCACACTATTCCATTCCCTCATCACCCCACCCCGCTCCCTGCCTCAGTCTTCTCACTCCATCTCTCCCATCCCTTTGCTGCTCACCCCATCTCCCCTCCCTTCTATTCCTTGTTCCCCTTCTCATCTTCTCTTCTCCTACCTATCTCCCCTCCCCTCCTTTCCTCACCCCCTCATCCTATCTTCCCTCCCTTCTCTCCTTATCCCCCAAACCCCACTTCTTCTCCATCCCCCTCCCCTTACCCCACTTCCTGTCCTTTCTTCAGGACCTCACAGTTCTTTACACCTGGACACCCATAGTGAGTACCAGAAAGAAGACAGGGAGTGGAGACTGCGGTCCCCTCGGCCTCTCCTGCTCTGCTCTGTAGCCTGGGGACTGATGCTCTACCAGCCTCAGTTTCCAGCTCTATCCAGTTTGCACGACCTCATGGGTGTCCACACTCTGTCTCTGAAAAAAACGGCCAAGAAAGAGAGGTGAGAGCTTCTGCCCTGGCCCTTCCTGTCCTCAAACCCTCCAAGAACTCCTTCTCCCTCTCACCCCGAGGTACCTCCTCCCCATCCCCCGCCACCTCCGCCCCCTTCTCTGTAGCACAGATGGGCCTGGGAGACAGTGACGTGGGCGCCAGGCACCGTGTCTGCTCGAGCGTCGGCTTCCGCTGGTGACCGCCTCCGCAGCCCTGCCTGCTCTGAACAGCGGGGACACCGGGCTGCGATTTAATGGAGAATGGGGGTGGGGTGGGACCGAAATGTACGATTCCGAGGGTGTTCATAAAGGAGATCAAGTGGAACTCGGATGAAGGGCTAAGGCGGGGCGCTAGGATAGGAGAGATCATAGGAGCAGAAAGAATTAGGAATAGGATAAGCCAGGAGATCTTGGGGGGGGGGGGGGACTGGAGATCACATGGGGTCAAGAAGAGGGAAAAGTAAGGGTGGGGTGTAAAATGTAGGACTTCAAAGGGAAAGTGGGGTGAAAGATCATAGAGAGAACTCTAATAGGGGCTGGGGGCTGCTCGTGAGGCAGCTGGGATGCGGGCTTATACCGAGAAGAGAAGGGGACTCGGAAAGGGAATCAGGGGGCGCTAGACCTGGGGGAACCGCCAGGTTGCCAAGGCGAGAGCAGAAGGGCCCTCAAACTCTGCGTGTCCGCCGGGGCCTGTTGTGAAATCCAGGCCTGTTTGAAAGGTCACGTCAGGTAACGCGAAATCAGGTCGAAGACAGATCACAGTTGGGTAGAAAACAGGTTAAGAAGGGGCGACCTTTTGACTCTACTCCAGAGACTACACCTCCCAGAGTGCACTATTCTCTCTCCTGCCGTCCAAAATGATGAGGGGGAAATGCCCAGGGTCACCGCCCATGGTGGGCGCGCTTTTCCTTTAAGGCTACCTTTGACATTGCACGGGTTCCAGAAGGTTCTCCCGGGATTCCAGCTGTGGCCAGTACGTCCCACCTTCCCAAACCGGAGATTGGACTAATATAGCGGCGCACCCCACCTCCCGGCTCGGGTCTGAGCCCCACAGACCAACCAATAAAATCAAAGGGCGCGTGGAGTTGCCACCCTCTGGGCCCTTCACCAATGACAGGGAGCGATCGTGAAGAGGCGTGGTTGACGGATCCCCGAGCGCACCAATCAGAGCCCCACCAATCGCTGCCAGGAGTGTGTGCGCGTGTGGCCGGGTGACAGGGGTGGAGAATGGGCGGCTATCGCCCAGCCACTCGTAGAAAACTGTCCAATTACAACAGAGGTTTGAGCTGAGTGACGGGCAGACGGCGCAATGGGAAGCGTGGAGGCGGAGCCGTGGGGGCGGGTTCCCGGGCCCGCTGTCTGCGGCCGGCGGGCAGGCGACTCCTGTCCCGAGTGGAGGCTGCGGAGCCGGAGCCGGGGGAGGGGGCAGTGGCTGTCGGACGGACCGCGGAGGCGCCCGCAGCTCCTCACCGGTGAGGGCGCCGATCTAGGACTCGGGGATCGTGGGCGTGTGGGCGTCGCGAAGTCAGGGGTCCTGGTGTCCGGGGGTTGGGACACTGAGGGCCCATCGGCTCTTCTGCGGTAGGGCGGCGGGGACTCAGGCTCTGCCAGGTGCTCGTTGTCCGCGACCCTCTTCCAGGGGACGGCCAGCGTCTGAGCCGGGGGAGGGTCGGGCCAGGTCGGATTGGGTTCCGCCGGGGAGGAGGCGTTTCTGAGCCGGCCCAGCCACCCAGCACCGGTGACATCACCGACCACCCTCCCCCGCCCGAGCCCCCTCCTCTCTCCCCCTCTCTGCTCGCCGCGCCTTTTGTCCTGGCGGGGTCGGCTCTGCCCCGCCCCTCCCCGCCCATCTGCGAGGGAGGAGACTCCCCGTCAGTGACTTCATTGAGTAGGTTCTGGGGGATTGGGGTCGGGTCCTCCCCGACAGAGAGGCAGAGGAACTTAGTGCTTCTCGGGCCCTCACAGACAATCACACCTGTCACAGGTACACACGCTGCCACTCACACGCACGCTCGCACTGCCAGCCTTCCTGCCACACGGTCACACAGCCATTCACAAGCAGCCAGACATTGCCGCCCTTAAGAGCTGGTGGCCACTGGACCCCATCCCTTCACTCTCCACGCCTGGGCATCAGGTCCAGCTCCAGCTCCTGTTGCACGGGACAGGCCTTGCTGGGTAAGTGCCTCTGAGGACCCGAGGAGGTGACTGCCAGAGCTGCAGCTTTGCAAGCAGGCTCCCGCGGAGCGAGCAGAGGTGAGGGGCTGGGCTGGGCATGTTTAAGCGCACAGTGCTCTCCTGCCCATCCCCAGCAGCATCCCCACTGCAGGCCCGAGGAGCTTTCCGGAGCTTCCCACACTTCTGGGGAGAAGACTTCTTAGCCAGCTTGATGTTTAAAATTCAGCTGGAGCCCTTAAAACTTCGAGCGTGGACGCTGAATGGGTTTGTAAAGTTTCGGTAAGTCCCTCCGGAGAATGGCACTCATGCCCGTACCAAGTCAAATCCTCCACATCACATCCCCCTCCATCGCCTCCTCGCTTCCTCCATTTCATCCTCGTCTCCTTCCCATTACATGTAAGTGCCTTCTACCGCACCCCTACATTTGAATGAAGTGTACACCTTATCATTCATCTCAAACCCTCCAGGCATCCATTTATTTTCCCCAAACATCTCCAGTATTTTAATTCTCTGCATCTCTCTTTCAACCCCCTGGTAACCCATTTTCTACCGCAGCCACTGCCACTGGTCACCCTTTATCCCCCTCCATCAGTACTTCATTTTCTGTATCAGCCATCTCCCCTCCCTATACCAGTCCCCCTTGCCATTTCTCCTCGTTTTTCATTCCCGTTTTTCATTCCCGCCTCAGCATTAACATCCTTTCTTCTTCTCCATCAAAAGCAGTGCCATGCCATGGGGCTCCTTTGTCATTCCAACACGCGGCTTTTGGGTAGGGGGAGGGAGGGAGAAAAGGGCAGTTCTTGAAAGAGATCACCCTGTGTCTGTGGAGGCAAGAGAATTATAGATCTAGAACAGCTAGCAGGTGGGTGCCAGGGAGGAAGCTGGCCAGATGAAGAGGTAATGCAGGGACATCAAGAGGATGGTGGGAGAAGTGGCAAGTCTTTCATTTGCCCTCTGCCTGGAAGCTGCTATAGTTCCCTGGGGCACCCTGTTGGTGTGCTAGGATTCCTTCCCAGTCCCTGGGGAAAGAAGGTGTGGGCCAAGGCAGAGATGGCAGACCACCCCCAGCTCCCGCTCAAATGGCTTTTACTGCTGCTTCCGAAAATGGCTGCCCTCCCCCAGCTGCTCTTTCTTCTCTGCCTCCTCCAACCCCCGCCTCCCCCACCAGCCGTGACATACTGATACGGGGGAGGAGGGGAGTACCCACCTTTTGGGAGCCTTCTCTTTGTCAGAGTGAGGTGACTCCCAGAACCATGAGTCAACCCAGCCACCTGCAACAGGCCCTGTGGGGGCAGGAGCTAGGGCCATGGTCCCTACTACCTACCTGGAGTCTTGAGGCCTCCTCTTACCCATTACAGCCCTCACTCCTGCCAGGAAACCCTGTACCCCTCGCTGAAGTAGTCAGAGGCAGAAAAGCAGGCCTTAGCTGTGGCTGCCAGCCCAGGACATTGCTAGAGAGACTCCGGTTCTCCGGGCTTTGGTATGGGTTGGTCAAATCTCAGAAGGGCTGGAGAATGGCTTCTGGCCATTCTCCCAAAAAGCTTTAGATACAGGAATGTCCCCTTCCCTGCATATTCACCACAGGGACATTGGTGGAGGGAGATTGGCATGGAAGAATTGGAGCCTCATGTTTCTCCCTCATATAACAAATGCCCCTGCATCCAGCTTAGAAGGGACTATCAGAGGAGTGTGGGCCAGATCCTAAACCACTGGGCAGGTGAGAGAGAGGGTAGGTATTAAGGAAATGGTGGTTAGTGCCCAATTGCCTCCTAACAACTAAGGTTTAAAAAGGCCCTATCACCAGGGTGCTTTTGTTCACTAACATTAGTGCTTAGGCGGCACAGACATGTCTTCACACACATTTTGTGTGTAGATACTGGGAGATGAGTAAAGGGAACAGTTGCCCTGATTGGGGGAAGGACAGTGATCATCCCCCTACTAATGAGGGAGTTAGAAATGGCAGTTTCCAAAGGCTGTGAGTCATCCTCTGATCTGAGTCACATGTGAGGCTTAGCATAGTCTGGGGATCGAGAGCAGGGGTGCCTGGGGTCTCCAATGCAGAGAGAACTCCAGGCACCCACACCCTGACTCAGCCCCATTGGCCAGGGCAGCTGGCTGAAGATCTAGGCCTGTCCCCAGTCCCAGGCCACTGCCCCAGCTGCCCTTAGCCTGGGCACCATGCCTGAGGCATGGCGTAGGAGACCACGATACTCAGGTGACCTCACCCCGTACATTGATCTTCACCAGCTTCTGTGCGTGGCTTTGTCAGTCCATGGTGCCACCTCACTCAGCAGGACCTTTCAGGGGGCCTCAGTCCGGCCCAAGGATGTGGGCCTTAGCCTAGCTCCAAGAAGTGGGCCAGAGCCCCCCGCCTGCTGTTGGGAAAACCCAGGACCTGAGGAAAGAATCACAGAATCCTAGAATGTCCAAGCTGGAAGAGATCATCTAGTCCAAACCTTTCATTTTACTGATGGGGAGACAGAGGCCCACAGAAAAGTCACACTGTGACTTTTAGGGATTGCAGGATCATCAGGAGCAAGACTGGGGCAGAAGGGAATAGAGGCACCAAGGATTGGCCCTGGATTTCTTTCAGAAACAAGGAGACCAGTGCCGGTCCAGTGGCTGTGATGGGAAAGGATTATTACAAGATTCTTGGGATCCCATCGGGAGCCAATGAGGATGAGATCAAGAAAGCATATCGGAAGATGGCCTTGAAGTACCACCCAGACAAGAACAAAGAACCCAATGCTGAGGAGAAGTTTAAGGAAATTGCAGAGGCCTATGATGTGCTGAGTGACCCTAAGAAACGAGGCCTGTATGACCAGTATGGGGAGGAAGGTAAGAGAGCAGCGCTCCAGGCTGCTATTGGACCCCTGTCCTTGTCTGGGGTCCTAGGTGACCCAGTTCTCATAACCGGGAACTGGAGACTGAGTAGGGGGTGAGGGAGGCAAGTGTTCCTAACACTGACACCCAGAGGAAAGAAGAGACCACCCACTTCCCAGCCTCAGCTTACCATAGTTCCCCCCACCTCTCTCTGCCCCTCTCCCTGCTTAAGTTCAGGCCTGAGCGAGGTCTGAAGCTAGAACCAGAGGCCTTCCCCCTCCCACTCCCCTTTCCACTCCCCCTTCCCAGCCCTTATTAGTCCAGCCTGAAGTCCCTGCTGCTTCATTGGCTGATGAGGAAGGATAGGGAAAGGGAGTGTGTGCCTCTCTGAGGACAGAGCATTTACATTCATCAGCATAAAAGTTTGACCCTTAAGCAGCCTGGGAACTAACCAGTGGGGCGCTGAGCTGGAGACATGGTTGTTCCCTTCTCTGCCCACTTCAGGCCATCAGAACAGAGGCATGGCTTCGCCTCCCTGAGGAAGTGGCAGAGATCCAAGGGTGGAAGGGAAACTGCTGCTGGCATATTGCCCCCTCCCTGGGGTAGCTGGTGGCCACGCACAGGGTGGCAGGAAAGGCCCAAATAAAGCCTCTGAGAGGGCGGCCCCTCCCAGCACATCCCACGGGCATGATGTAGCAGCTAATTCTGGGCCTGCCCCTCAGGGCCGCCTGCCACCCGCCAGCCACAGGCACCTGTCAGGCTATATTAAGAGACATAGTCACAGCTGAGGACTCTCCTTCCCGGGAGAAACTGTCCTTCCTCCCTAACTGCATGCACCTTTCTTTCACATTCCCCTCCTTACTCTCCCCACTGTAGCCTCCAATTAGATAGGCTATCCATATGCACTGTGCCTGGTACAGAGTAGGCACTCAAAAGAATGTTCTTTTCCTCTCCTCCTCCTTGCTTTGTGTCCCATGCCATTATCTTCTGGCACCCCAGTCCTCCCAGCCCCCTCTCGTATGTCTCCATGCCACTAGTTCCTTCCATTTTTCCCTGCTCACCTACCAACTCCCAGATTCACCAGGCGTCTTGTGGGGGGGGGGGGGTACTTTCTCAGCTAAGAATTTGTTTTTCCTCTGGGATGGAGTAATGGGAGTAGAGGTGGGCAAAGAGGGTCGATTTGCAGGCACCATGCCACCATGTGACCTTTCTGGGAATTGCACTCATTCCTCCACTTGCCTCACCTTTGTTTAGGAAGGTGAGAGCTGGGAGAGAGCTGGAAACTTAACCCTCCTGCATGACCAAGCCTAAGTGAAGGGCATAGCTCAGCCCCTAGGCCCAGACACTGGGTTCTAAAGCAGATCTGCAACCCCGGAGGATGCAGCACAGCCTTAAGGAGACAGCCAGAGCCTGGGGAGGGAAAAGCAGCCTTGGAAATGGGGGTTATATTTCTGTCCGCCCTGCCTCCTCCCCATCAACCAGACAGAACAGTTGTGCACATAGACTCTGTACTCAGCCCTGGCTGGGGACAAGTTGTTCCCAGCTTGAAAAGGGGGTGGTAGTGGTACAGCAGGAATCCCCACAGAGAAATTACCCTTTCCTGTTGTCATTAGTCCAACCTCCCTCTTTTGCTGAGCTTTGCCAAGCTTCTTGAACTCACCTGATAATCACACCTCAACAGAGGGAAAGAACAGACCCTGCGTCTTAAGGGAGGGGTGAAAAGGCCGCTGCCACAAGTCTCTGAACGGCCTGCCACTTGGCCTCTCTAATGAAATCCAAATCTAATGAAATAAGAGGCTAATTTAGGCTCTGGCTTCCATAGCCAATTGAAATTCTAGATAAAAGGCCTTAAAAAAAGAGTCCCTTCCCGTAGCTTGGGCTCCACCCTAAGTCTACATGATCTAGATCACTTCTCAGTGTTAATACCCACCTCGCTCCTTCCCCTGTGCCCTACTGTCCCCATCCTCACCACTGCCATCCCCCCGTTAAGGCTGCCTCCTTAGACAGGACCTAACTCCAGCAAGAGCAGCTGGGGTCCCCACCCACAATGTGCCAGCTCATTCATGCATTTGGCTGCTCTGATATTAAGTGTGAGGGGTAAGGCTTGGTGTTATATAACTCCAGGGAGCTCCATTCCCATTGTCGTCTATGTCTGTCCAATGTGTGAATGGCACCCCCTGCAGTTGTGCAACACTGTGAGCCCTGACTGTGGGAACAAAGCATTTGAAAACTTTTTCTAAAGAAGTAGCTCCTCATCTCCAAGCCAATGAGCTTTCCTGCTTTGGGGAGCCCTCCTTATTTCCCATTTGGCAGGGAAAGAAGAAATTGCTAGAAGCAGAGTGAGAGTGGGCCTCCTCCTGGACCATATCCCCACTTGATTTAGGACAAGTCACTTACTAGCCCCTGTGTCATCAAATCTTGCCCACTTGCCTCATGCTCTGTGGGTCTTTGGAGAAAAGCAAAAATTTCAGAGCCAGATATGACTTGTAAGGTGACCCAGGCCAGCCACAAAGGTCTGAGACATCTTTGGGTCATGGTTACATGGGAGAGATTACAGGACTGGAAGTCACATCCTCCAGGACTTCTACTCTTAGCTTTTCCACCCATTGGGAAACTCAGCCTCTTTGAACCTCAGATGTGTTTTATTAAAAATATAATTAAGAGTAAAAATTAATCTTGCCAGAGAACTTTCTTACTGTATTAGGCCAGCCCTCTCTCTGGGAATTAAAGATTTCGTCTTTCTCTAGGTCCTTGAGTTGGGAGCTAGAGAGCAGGGAGAGGAGACTGGGGTGGGGCCCAGACCAGCCACACTGTCCCTAACTTCTCCTCCCTCCAGGCCTGAAGACTGGCGGTGGTTCGTCAGGTGGCTCCAGTGGCTCCTTTCACTACACCTTTCATGGGGACCCCCATGCCACCTTTGCCTCCTTCTTTGGTGGCTCCAACCCCTTCGATATCTTCTTTGCCAGCACTCGTTCCACTCGACCGTTCAGTGGTTTTGATCCAGATGACATGGATGTGGATGATGATGAGGACCCATTTGGCGCCTTCGGCCGCTTTGGCTTCAATGGGCTGAGTAGGGGTCCAAGGCGAGCCCCTGAACCACTGTACCCTCGGCGCAAGGTGCAGGACCCACCTGTGGTGCATGAGCTGAGGGTGTCCCTGGAGGAGATCTACCATGGCTCCACCAAGCGTATGAAGATCACGAGGCGGCGCCTCAACCCTGATGGGAGAACTGTGCGCACCGAGGACAAGATCCTGCACATTGTTATCAAGCGTGGCTGGAAGGAAGGCACCAAGATCACCTTCCCCAAAGAGGGTGATGCCACACCTGACAACATCCCTGCTGACATAGTCTTTGTGCTCAAAGACAAGCCCCATGCACACTTCCGCCGAGATGGTACCAACGTGCTCTACAGTGCCCTGATCAGCCTCAAGGAGGTGAGGCCTGGGTCAGGTTGTGTGTGTGATGAGGGGGGGGGTAACAGGGACATTCTTTCCCCATTTTAATCTTTTTCTCTCTTCCCAGTCACTCTACCCCACCTTTTCCTCACTATCTGCCTCATTTTCCCCAGGCACTGTGTGGCTGTACCGTGAACATTCCCACCATTGATGGCCGAGTGATCGCTTTGCCCTGCAATGATGTCATCAAGCCAGGCACCGTGAAGAGACTCCGTGGGGAGGGCCTTCCCTTCCCCAAGGTGCCCACCCAACGGGGCGACCTCATTGTTGAGTTCAAAGTTCGCTTCCCAGACCGATTAACACCACAGACACGACAGATCCTTAAGCAGCACCTGCCCTGTTCCTAGGCTCTGCCCCAGCCAGCCCAGAGTCTACCACAGCAATACCCCCACACTCGCCCCACCCAATGTGCACCCAACTTGATGTCCACTGGACACTGGCAACTTTTTTAAATGCAAAAAAAAAAGCCACTGTTTTTTTCAGGAAAATGTTCCTGTCCCTGACCCCTTTCAGAGCTGGGCTGCCTTGGGGGAGTGGGAGGGAGGTGGGGAGAACTAGCCCAGACCAGGGGTCAATTTTCATGTCACTAGCTTTGAATCCAGTTCCCACTCCAGTGACTGGAGAGTGACCTGAGTGCTACTTGAATATATAAAGATTCCTTGTCCACGCCTGTAAATAGCATACCCTCCTTCCCCGCTCAGCTTTGCTGACACCTCGCCTCTCCCTTCCCTCTGGCTTCCGCCTATGGGGGAGGAAGAGGGTGGAAAGGACACTGCTTTCCCACCCCAGCCCCACCCCCTGGTCCACAGTGTCCGAGGTTATCACACACATATTCACACACACAAAGCACTCGCCTAGAGCTGTCTGTGCCTCTCCCAGGTTGAGATAGAAAGGGAAGGTCCATAACCGGGCCATTGAGCACGAGACACTTTTCATCTGGGGCAGGGGGGTGAACGGGGCCCTCAGCAGCCTCCTGGACAGCTCCCCTGCCCAGACCCCACAGAGCTGAAAGTTCTGTCCTCCCTGTTGCTCTCAGGAGTGTGCAAGCATGGAGGGAGGGGAAGGGGGTCTGCTGTATTAAAGCTAAGAGGTGGGGGGCAGGATCCATCTCCCAGCCTTCATCAGGAAGGGAAAGGGCTTTGGGGTCAGGTGGCAGCTATTCCCCAGCAAGAGATTCAGGGTCACAGGTTTCTCCCCACACCTCTGAACTCAGGGCCTCGCCACCCCAAAACTTCCAAATCCCATTTTTGTGATATGTGTAACTACTTATTTCTTACCCTTCATGGAGGCTGTGTGGGAAATTTCCAGCCCTTTGATGCCTATGTGACTCCACCCCATTCCCAGAGTTGTGAAAGATCCAGTAGTGCAGGATCTAGGGTAAGACTGCTTCAGCAAGGTCCTGGGGTGGGGTCTTTAGGTTTTCTCACATTGACAAGCCCCTGAATGTTTTTATAGTAGTTTTTTTTTTGTATTTTTTGTAATGACAGTATTATGAAAAAAATAAAATATTTTAAAAATATGGCATCTGAGCCCCAGCTGGGTGGCTCAGTTGTTTGGAGCATCATCCTGTACACCAAAAAGGTTGTGGGTTCGATTCCTGGTTGGAGCACATACCTAGGTTGAGGTTTCATCCCCAGTTGATCACATAAGAGAGGCTCGATCTCCAATTGGAGCGCTTATGAGAGGCAACTGATCCTCTTGATGTTTCTCTCTCTCTCTCTCTCTCTCTCTCTCTCTCTCTCTCTCTCTCTCTTCCTCTCCCTCCCTCCCTCTCTCTCTCTGTCTTACTTTCTCAAATCAATAAAAACATCCTCAGGGAAGGATATCTATATATATAAAAGGCTAATATGCAAAGTGTCCCCTTGGGAGTTCGACCGGGAGACTGGGAGTTCGACCGCTTGAACCAGGGGGGCAGCACGGAACATGGCGGGCGACCAGTGGCAGCGGGGCACTGAGGGAGCGAGGGAAGGAGGAGGTGGGGAGGCAGGGAACCTGATTGGCCCTGATCACTGGCCAGGCCTAGGGACCCTACCTGTGCATGGACCCTACCTGACCAGAAGCAATGAACCTGGGCTGGAGGTGGGTGTGCAGTGCCACTCTCAACCTTCCTCCGGGGCCCTGGTCCCCTTTGAGAGGCCAAACAGGACTTCAGTATAAGGTGAAGCCGATTCCTTCCTTCCTCTAAGCCCAGACTCCCGGGATTTCTAAAACATACTCCACACAACAAAGACAGAAGATACCACTCACTATAAGAAGAAACAAATCTATTTGGAAAGAATAAATATCCTTTTTTATGAGAAACAGAGACTATCCTCTTTGAAGGATGTGCTATCACAAGAATGAAAAGATTTTCTCTATAGGAACTAAATTTTCCTTTGAGAGAAATTTCCCTCTTAGGAGGAGACAGAAGAGGACTTTCTGGATGACTAGAAAAGACATATCCCCACAGAAAGAGCCTGAGGCAGTGGGGAGGAGAGCTGGAGGTACCTGGGATCTTTGGTCCATGCTGGTGGGGTCTGGCTGGGAACACAGGCTCCCTGGGAGGCATGGACATCGTAGCTGATCCTCAAATCCCATAATTTTCCAGCGATGTGTGTCCTGGTCTCTGAGCCACCTGTCCTGCTGAGACAGGTCTGGTCCTCAGGGCCTGCGTGCTATGCTGACTGCAGGGTACACTTGTCACTTTCCTTGGATCTTGGTAGAGAGGAGCCCTGTAGTTGAAGGAATGCCTACTGTGGGCTCTGCCTGGGCCTAGACTTTGTCCTGGTGCTGATTTTCCTCTGCACCGAAGCCCTGATTCTTCCCCAGGATCCAGCCCATGATGACCATGCCCCAATGGGCTTCAGGGTCCCCAGTGCCATGAAGACAGCTCTGCCTTCACCTGGTCCTGGGCTCCACACAGAAGTTGACACTGAATAGGCTTTTCTGCCCTTGCCTTTTTCCCTGGGACAATGCCAGTGAAAATAGTTTCGTCCTTTTATTCAAGGTACTTTCAGAAGGAGCGTGCTCCTTCCAGTGCAGAAACCAAGGGCTCTTACTGACAAGGGTGTCTGCTAATCCCATGGCCTGGGCAGGGAGAGCCCCAATTCTACATCTCCTACTCAATGCTCTCCTATTTTGGATCTTCTAGTAGGGTTGTGCCTTTTTACTAGGGCTAAACTCTTGTCCTGGCTCTTCCCTGAGGCCTAAGGCTTTGGGATCCAGGTCTGTTGGGCCAGACACCTGCCTCTGGCCTCCATGTGAATACAAAGGATATAGGAAATTGTCATGTCCCTACTGGGCAATCTCTGAGATGGGACTATGAGACTTTAGAAGCCAAGCTATCTGAGGCCAGGGGCACTTCAATGAGAAAGACCTGAAGCTTGCTTTGCCTGCAATTTTAGGCTTACCCTTAAAGGTTACATGGAGGATTTATGGTTTTTTAATGCCTATGTCACCATACACATACATGGAGGGAGGAAGAGAGAAAGAGGAGGAGGGAGGAGGGAGATAGAAAGAGAGAGAGAGAAAGAGAGAGAGAGAGAGAGAGAGAGAGAGAGAGAGAGAAAGAGAGAGAGAGAGAGAGAGAGAGAGAGAGAGAGACCTGTATAAAAGTCAAGACAGTAAAGGAACTGGGGGAAAATTCTGGTTCAGCCAGGTCCTAAGAAGTGGGGTCTTTATTGGGTTTTCTCACTTTGACAAGCCCCTGAATCCTTTTATAGTAGGTGGTGTGTGTGTGTGTGTGACTTTGTAATGACAGTACTATGACAATCATCAGCTTATTTGTATGACCATAATATTTAAGGCTTGGCCATCCTGAATTTTGGGCAACCAGAAATTTGAGGGGTGGGGGGGAGACAGGGAGGATTTTTTGGTCACTGGAGCCCCTTGTCCACTCAGATAGCCATTTAGTTTCTGGGCATCCCCCAGACTTTCATAACATCTTCTGATTGTGGCTTAGAAGCTGGAGTCTTCTTAGACTTCACTTATCTCCCTGAACTCTCTGGCCCTTGAAAGAATCCCTAAATAATCTCCAACATCTTTTTCCTGAACTGGAAACTCCAAGAAGGTGCTGACCTCTGTGGTGATCCCCTTCAGACACTCCTCTCTCTGTTCTCTGCCTCTGGAGCACTGCTGGCGTCTGTTGGGACACAACTCCACTTTCATCGCTTGGGTCATGTCCAGAGTCTACCACAGCAATACCCCCACACTCGCCCCACCCAATGTGCACCCAACTTGATGTCCACTGGACACTGGAGCGACTCTGGACTGTCTCTCTTGTTCCTCATACACTCATACTCTATCACAATTTATCCCTTTTAATGGGTATGAAGAGCTAAAAACGTGTCTGCTCTTCTCCTTGGACTAAGGGTCTGCATGAGCCATGATTAACATCTCAGGGGCCTCTGGCCTTTCTTGCTCAAAGCTGAAGGGGAAGGATGAGAACTTTCCAGGGTATGAACTGAATTTTTTTTGTAATCAGCTTGTCTTCTGACCTGCCTAAGGGTTTCTTTTGAAGACCATCCCTTAAACATGGGTGGCTGAGAGAGAAAGTAAACTGGGGAAGGAGCTATGATTAGGTCTCTATCAACTTAACAGTTTTATGTATGCAAGGACCTTGAAAGGTAAGCTCTACCTCTGCCACACTCAAAACCATATAATCTAGGCTTCCTGGTGCTTGTCAATCTAATGCCTGCATTAAGGAAGGAAAGCTTCCAAGAGGTGTTCAGGCAGTGTTCCTGATTAATGAAGGGTACTACATTTCCAGTTTCCACGGACTTCCCAGAAGGGGGCAATGTAGAGTTGGCAGGAAGCCGTGAACACACATTTCTAGAGGTCCCACTTTGATCCATCTGCCCCAGCTTCTTGCCCAAGTAAGTCTTTAGGGTATTTTTCAGTTGCTTCAAGTCTAGGTTCTTTTTTTGAAAACATTGACAAGTCATTTCCTGACCCATTCCCTGCATGACTCGAAGTCACTTTTTATCTCCTCTGAAGAATCAGCCCCTGAAACCTTTACTGGGCAACTTTCTGAGTTCCTTCATAGCTTACATTTGGAGCCCTTTCTCGGGCTCTGCCTCAGACCTTTCCCTAAGTCATTCTCTAACTGGAAATTTGCTGGGCCCTTCAGATAGAAACTTCCTGGATGTCACAATCCAATCTTTCTTAGATCCTTGCTGCTTTGGTACGTAAACACAACAGGCTTTACAAGTCTATGATTTTACTTAGCTAAGGTGTGTCTGTTAGTTACCCTGAGGCTGCATCAGTGCCAGAGTATCTTGGATCCTACAGGCCAGGACCCACTAGTGTTAAATGGGACTCTTTCAAAAGTAGAACTCTTCTTGTTCCAAATATTACTGCTTATAGGAAATTCTATGCGAAGAATGGAAACTGACACATAGACATGGACGGCCAGGCTGTACTGAAAAAAAGTAAAAACCCACAAATTTTCAATCTGCTTCTCTAACAGGTATTAAATTTCAGTTGCGGTTCCAGAAAAGGAATGGAGAAGAAGGTAGTAGGAATGGTAGCAAGAATGTGCCTGAGATAGGAGCTGGGAATGAAGCAGGGTTTGAGGCTAGGAAAGCAATGGGAAATCTTTAGCCTTCATTTAAACTAAGGGGCAGAGGATTGGGCGTTAGAGATTCCCCTGACAAAGCAAAGGGAGACTCCAGTGGGAAACAACCACCCAAAACAGGACAGTAGCTACAAGGGACTCACTGAGTAGAGAGGGAAGAACCTAGAAAAGCTGGCTTCATTATGTTGTAAATGGTCCCCCCTGGTTTAGGGATGTGAGAGTTGCTGAAGACTGTGCAGTTGCTCTGGTTTGTCTTCAGTGCTCTGTAATAGTCGCATTTCAGCAAGTGACTCTAAAATAGCCCTAGAAGAATGAAAACATACAAAATTATATACATCACCCAGCAAAGACTGGAAGACTCATCAGTTCCAATGATTTAATGAAACCTCTGTCCAGTCATTAACTGACCACTAAGTTAACCAAGCAGTGGCCACATACAACAAACAATATAGACTTTACAGAATTACTTCAGAAAAATCACTACGCAAACAACAATAACAACAAACTCTAGAAAATCTGAATTCTAGAGTTGCCACATTATATTATTAAAAATGTCCAATTTTCAACAAAAAGTACAAGATATGTAAAGAAATAAAATTTTTTAAAAAATGGCACACACACATACATGGGGAGGAAAACAGCAATCAATTAAAAGTGACCCCAAGGAAGCCCAGACATTGAACTTACTAGACAAAAACTTCAAACCAGCTATTTAAAATATGTTCAAAAAAGTAAAGAAAACTACGTCTAAAAAATACTAATGGGCCCTGGCCAGTGTGGCTCAGTTGGTTGGGCACTGTCCCCAGCACTGAAAGGTTGCAGGTTGGGTTCCCTGGTGAGAGTACATGCCTGGGTTGTGGGATCAATCCCCGGGTTGGGGCATCCAGGAGGTAGCCAATCGTTGATGTTTCGCTCTTGCATTGATATTTCTCTCTTCTCCCTTCCTCTCTCTCTACCAGGGTGACAGTAAGGATGGGGAAGAGAGACAGATTTGAGAAACAGCTGAGAAAATTAGCAAAAGTTGGTGACTGACTTCTTATGGGAAAGATGAAGAGCGAGCAGTGTAGATGGCTGCTGTGTTTCTTGCTTGGGTGACTCAATGATACTAATTACTTTGGGAGATACAACAGGAAGAGCAAATTGAGTCAAAAGAAGAAAATGCCCTAAGTTATGAAGATGTTAGGCCTGGGGTGCCTGTGGGAAATGGAGCTTAGGGATATTTAGCAAGAACTGGGATTTATGAGACAAGCTCATAGAAGTCAGTGCTGAAATAACTAACCACATAAATAGCTACCTCACTACTTCAGAGATCCTACTTCGGAGAGTAACACAGTCATTAAAAATTACATTTAGGAAGAGTTTATAATGTGTAGAAAAGGTTTATGCTAAATATTAACTGCTTTCCTACCTTACAAAAACCTATGTTTATTTAAGCAATGTAAAAATTTGAATAGTAACATCTGGAAAGAAATACATCAAAATGCTATGGAAATTATTTTGACTTTAGAAGTTTATGGGATTCCTCCTTATACTTTTTCAGATCTTCTAAATTCAATATATACTTTCATAATGGGAAAAACTATTTAAAACAGCAATATTTTCGCCAATCTCTAGTGGGACATGGCTAGTGTTTCTTTCTGTTAAACACAGGACCTGACACATAGTAGCCTGTCAATAAATGCAGTAAAATACCAATACCTGAGTGTGAAGGCATTTGAATTTCCCTCCCTTCTAGAAGGCGGAGGCCTGTCCTGTCTGCTAGAATGCCTCACCACAGTGGACCTCCACTCAATCACGAGCCTGCTTCTGCCCATCAGGACTCAGCCTCACCTCTGCCCACTGACACTGCCCTGAGGGGGCTAGGCTGGTTTTACACACACACACACACACACACACACCACACACACACACACACCCCAATCCCCAGCCTCTCAGCTCCTTCATCTGCTTTGAAACATCATCCCTTCTGTGGGAGCTGGCTCGGCAGGCAGTCTGAGAAACTGACCCCTCCCAGAGGGCGGTTCTGGGAGGTCTCACTGTCCTCTGACCAGTCGTGGCATTTTCAGGGTACTGGCTCGGGACAAGACATGTGTGCAAGCGGCAAGTGGAGGTGGGCCGCTGGCCAGGCCCTTAACTCAGCGTCCTTATGGAGAAGGAAAGGGAGGGGAGGGAAGAGGCGGGAGGAGTAAGGGAAGAAAGAAGGGAGAACGAGAGGGACTGGGAGGCGGAGGGAAAGCGAGTTGGGCAGTAAAAGGGGCTGAGGCCAGGCATCGACGCTCAGAAGCTCTGCCGCGGATCCTGGGCGCAGCCGCCCCACCCACAGCCCCCGCCAACCGAGGTGGGGGAGTCCCACAGCGGGACTGGCCCTAGGCATCTGAAAAGTCCCATCAAAATCTCGGCTGACCTTAACTGCCCACTTCCGGTACCAAGGAAGCCAAGGAGGCTGATTCGGGCGTCCAGAGGTGGTGCCTCCTGAGTTAGCCACCAGGAAGCCGGAGGAAGAGTCCCGCTGCAGGCCCTTCCCCGCAACAAAAATCCCGCCCATTTCTCATTCATTCGCCCAGAAGTTACTGAGCTCTAACCTGATACTAAACACCAGATGCTGGAGTTAACGCAGGGAACTGGGTAGACAAAGTTCCATCCCTCAGATAATTAAGACATAAGCTACAATCTAGTGTGGAAAGTACCGGTGGGGGAGGAGAGGGAGGATAAGGGCACCCAGCCCAGCTTGGGAGGGTCAAGGAAGGCCTCCCAGAGAGACAACTTTCATTGTGGCAGGAAATGGTTTCTGATTCCTCTGAAAAGTGGAGGTCTGGCACATCAGCTGGGGGGTAGGGGGGTGCGAGGAAAAGAGAAGTTGAGAAAAGTGAAGAAGGCTTGAATCGATTTTTTAGTAGAAAGGATTTTTTTAAAGGAATTATGTAAGCGCCACAGGCAGGGAGCTTTTCCTGTTTTGATTAACAATGTATTCCAAGTACTTAGACCAGTACCTAGCACACATCAGGCACTTAATAAATGGAACTCATGAATAAATGCTTTTCAAGTGATGCTTGGAGCTGATCATTAATTGCAGGCTGTGAGTTTATGGGGGCACAACTCACTCATGTGCGATTTTATCCAATAGCGCTGAGCCACTTCCTACAGGGCAGGTCTGGCAGAGGCAGAGAGTTGGGATGTTGCCAGGTAGAAATGATGGAAGGAGAATGAATTGAGAAGTGCTTGGGAGGTTGACCATGAAGTCATTGTGGAAAGGGAGGAAACGCAGGCAAGAGGTTGCTGACGGACTGGGAGAAAGTGGAAGGATCAGTGGAATGGATGTCCTGACAAGGTTGAAGAATTGTCATCTTTAGGACAAATCTGAAGGTTGAAGTCAGAGGATGGAATGTCAGACTGGAAGGCAAAGCAGTTCCTGATGATGAGGCTTCAGATATGACCACAGCTGGATTGGAGCAGAAGTAAAGGACTCTGAGATGAAAAGGTCTAGGAATTGAGAGTTTAGGTCATTGAATGGTCTATCCACACAGATGTTTGGGTCTCCCATAGATCCCCTCTTCAAGATCCCTGCTCTGGGCCCCATCCAGACTCTTCCCCAACCTTCAGAGGACCTGTATTCATACTTCAAGTTATGCCTTAAATCATAAAAGAATAATGATATAGCTCTGGGCCAGAAACCAAAATGGGGAAGTTAGGGAGGGCTGTAGTGGATATCTGTTTTGTCTTCTTTGTTTTATACCAGCATACACACACCTTTCTGGAAACAGTATGTCTATGTCCTCGGAAGGAACTACCACACTCCCACTCCTTCAGTCTCAGTCCATGTGCAGGTGGAGTGGTCTTCCCTCCACACCCTTATTCCAAGGGTATATGTGTGGCTCAGACCTGTCAGAAGAAGCAGTCTATTCCCCTGTGAGCAGTGTAATGAGTAGTTCAAGGATGGACACATACCAATTGAAACCCATAAGTCACGTGTTGTCAGAGTGACATCACATTTTTAGCATCAATGGTACTGCTACCACACAAAACCTGAGAGAAGTCAGCATAGAAGACAGAGAGCCAAGAAGTGGAAAGTGAGTCCTGCTGACATTGAATTGAGTCCCTGCATCAATCCTACTACCTGAAGCCAGCCTTACCCTGGACTTTTCAGTTATGTCATACATTCCTATTTTGTTTACACCTGTTGGATTTTACTTTCTGTCATTTATATCCAAATAATTCCTCACAGCCCTAGTTGGTTTGGCTCAGTGGATGGAGTGTCGGCCTGCGGACTGAAGCATCCTGGGTTGAATTCCGGTCAAAGGCACATGCCCAAGTTGTGGGCTGGATTCCCAGTAGGGGATGCGCAGGAGGCAACTGATCAATGATTCTCTCTCATCATTGATGTTTCAATCTTTCTCCCTCTCCCTTCCTCACTGAAATCAATATATATATATATTAAACACACACACACACACACAAAAAAAAACCCCAAAACCCCCAAGTGATTCCTCACAGTACAAGGGGGTTTCTCAATCCTTAGCTCTGCCTTCCAAACTCAATTTCCCTTACATGAAAGGGGAGAACAACACTCACTTCAAGGAGTTGTGGAGATTAAATGGGATGATAAGTGTATAAATTTGTTCCATAACACTGAGAAGTAAGAAACATCAAATTACTTAATTTTTCTAAAATTAAATCTGGCTCAAAACTCCCATTTACTAGAGTTCAAAGACATCCAATCCTATACAATAAAAGCCTAATATGTTAAGTGTCCGGTCAGCTGTTCAACCAATCAAAGCATAATATGCTAATGATATGCTAAGGCTGCTCAACTGCTCTCTCTGATGTGCACTGACCACCAGGGGGCAGGCGCTCCAACCCGTAGGTTAGCTTGCTGCTGGGGTCTGGCTGATTGGGACTGAGTGAGATGGGCTGGACATGCCCTGGAGCCCTCCCATGGTCCCTTCCTGGCTGGCCAACCTCCTGTGTTCTCCCCAGCCCCGATCATGCACTGGTGGGGTCCCTTGGCCTGGCCTGCACCCTCTCACAATCCGGGACCCCTCAGGGGATGTCGGAGAGCTGGTTTCCATCCGATGGCGGAATGACCAGTTGCTATGATGCGCATTGATCACCAGGAGGCAGACGCTCAATGCAGGAGCTGCCTCCTGGTGGTCAATGTGCTCCCACTGGGGGAGCGCTGCTCAGCCAGAAGCCAGGCTCACAGCTGGCAAATGCAGCTGTGGTGGCAGGAGCCTTTCCTGCCTCCATGGCAGTGCTAAGGATGTCCGACTGCCTGCTCCCGGGGAGCAGGCCTAAGCCATCAGTTGGACATCCCCCGAGGGCTCCTGGACTGTAAGAGGGTGCAGGCTGGGCTGAGGGACCCCCCACCCCGAGTGCACAAATTTCATGCACTGGGCCTCTAGTATTAATCATAATTGGGTCCTTTCCCCTCTTTAGTGTGGTATAAACTGACAAAAAATAAAGGAAAAGAAAATCACTTAGGAAAGCTCAGCTTGAGCCTGACATGGTTGCCCCCGGGATGTGCATTGTCTAAACCAGCGGTTCTCAACCTGTGGATCGCGACCCCTTTGGCGGTCGAACGACCCTTTCACGGGGGTCGCCTAAGACCATCCTGCATATCAGATATTTATATTACAATTCATAACAGTAGCAACATTACAGTTATGAAGTAGCAACGAAAATAATTTTATGGTTGGGTCACAACATGAGGAACTGTATTTAAAGGGCCAGAAGGTTGAGAACCACTGGTCTAAACACTTATGGTCCATTCAAAGGCAGGTGGCTCCACAGCATCTCTGTCAAGTTTGCATACCAGCATCTTTTGTTGCAGTTCCTAAGGTTATGTGTTAGATGTTTAGTACCCTAACTATTAAATCAGCTCTCCCCATTACAAGTCCTGATGCCTCCTAGTGAACCCATCACTACCCATCACTACATCTTTTTCCCCAAGTCCCTGGGCCCACTGCTATATTTGGGCAACTCCTCTTCTTTCAACCCAGCATCCTCCATCTTCTCCTTTTCAAGAATGCCCAACTAAATTAAATTCCCCTCCCACACAAGAGCCTGAATAAGATTGTAGACAAGGTGTCTTGCAACTTTAGTTTGGGACTAAAAAATAAATAATCCATTAACAATTCTATGAGATAAGAAACTTAGAATTCCTGTAATAGAAGAAAACAGTTACCTTTTTAAATATATATAAATATATATATATATAAATATATATATATATATATAAATATATTAATGATTTCAGAGAGGAAGGGAGGAGAGAGAGATTGAAACAGCAATGATGAGAGAGAATCATTGATTGGCTGCTTCCTTCATGCCCCCTAATGGGGATCAAACCCACAACCCAGGCATGTGCCCTTGACAAGAATCGAACCGGGACCCTTCAGTCCACAGGTTGATGCTCGATCCACAGAGCCAAACCAGCTAGGGCAACAGTTACCTTTTCATCCCACTGGCAAGACATAGGAGAAAGCAATCAATAACTGGTAAATTATCCTGCCATAGTGTAAATTAACTAGCACAGAATAAGATCCAGTATTGCCTTCTCTAAGCACTCAATCTTCTTCATCCAGAGGTAGCAGATGCAAATGCCGGGCAGGTAATACAAATGAGTAAAAAAATGAACAAACATAAGAAAACAAAACGATAAACAGCAACTAACCCTTAGCCTGGGCATTAACAATGAAACTATGATGAGAACCATGCTGAATTGGAGAGCACCTGTCCACTTCAAAGGGAGGGAGCAACTTCTACTTAACTCTAATGGTCTGTACTTGGTGGGAATGAGAGTCAGTATTGCCAGATTTTAAACTTGAAATATTATTATGTGCAATCTGTTACGTTTACAGTACTGGCTACTTATTCATTCAAGTTCTTAATAAAAACACTACTAGCTACATTGTCTGGGCCAAATGTTACATTTCAGTTGGTCATCTTTAAGACAAATGTTATATTTCAGTTGGTCATCTTTATGCTACATATATGCTGTCAGCTGACAAATTTACATCTTCTCCATAGACTGTTCTCCCAAGCTTCAGATCCAAGTATCCAATTGCCTCTTGCCTAGCTTTTCCTTGCCACAGGTATCTCAAATTCCAATGTTTAAAATGGAACCCATCAACCCCAAACACATGCTAAATTGGTTTCCAGGTCTGTGTTCCCTATCTCAATACAATGGCACTAATATATACCCAGTTTCCTCTCAGAAACCCTGGAGTTATTCTCAACTCCCGCTCCCTCCACCCCATCCCACTGGTAACAAAGTATAATGTCTTATCTGTGGAATTCTACTTGAACCCATTATTCTTCATTCCCACCATCACTGCCTTGGCTCAGGCCTCAACTTTTATTTTGCCTAAATTAAAGCAAGAGCTCCTTAACTAATCTCTTGCCTTCAATCTCTAATCTTTTTGCCCTCACTATAGCCAAAGCATTCTTTGCAAGACACAAGCTTGATGTTGTCACTTCCCTGCTCAAAACTTTTCAATGATTTACCATTACCTTCAGGATAAATTTCAACTCCTTAGACTGGTATTCAGGGCCCTTTGTGATCTTGTCTTTCCATGTCTACCTCCTACTGCTTCCTCAACCCCCACCGCATTGAAGTACCTTCAATTCCCTAACGGGACATTTTCCTATACCCTAGCACCTTTACACAGGCTCTTCCTACGGCTTGGACTATCCTTCCCTTGTTCCCTACACTCTCATTTTCTTGGTTCCTCAGACCAAGCATTAATCCTCTTCTGGGACATACCCCCTCTCCCCGCCCCCCACAGGCAACCCCTTTCTCCAGGCTGGTTAGATAACCTTTTCTGCTTCCATTGTGCATATCTTTATTTTATTGTCTACTAGGGGCCCAGTGCATGAATTTGTGCACCTTGAAAGGAACTGTGGGCTGCGAGGCTGCGGTGGGCACAGGGGCGGGTCTTGGCCCATCCTCCGCGCCCCCGCCCGGCCCCTCCCACTGCGGCCCCCAGTCCCCTGTCTGCTGGCAGCCCCACTCCCTCCGCCACCACTTGCAGCCGCAGACGCCTGCCATGTTTCACACGCACCCCCTTGTGGTCAGCACGTCATAGCAACTGGTTGTTCGGCCGCTCGGTCTATTTGCATATTAGGGTTTTATATATATAACTTGACTGATTTTTCCCACAGAAATAGGACTTACTTTAGAGCAGGGGTCCTCAAACTACGGCCTGCGGGCCACATGCGGCCCGCCAAAAACATTTATCCGGCCCGCCGGGTGTTTTTGCCGCCGCTGTGTGCATAGGAATTTGTTCATAGTTTTTTTTTTAAACTATAGTCCGGCCCTCCAACGGTCTGAGGGACAGTGAACTGGCCCTCTGTTTAAAAAGTTTGAGGACCCTTGCTTTAGAGACTCTGTCTTACTTCTATCTACTCGAGACTAAACACAATACCTGATTCAAACTAGGCACTCAATAAATATATGTTGAATTAATTAATCTAATCCAACTTAGGGTAGCAATGGAGAAAACTAAGAACTAGAAAACCCAGGTTATCCTCAATCTTAGTTCAGTACTCTTTCTACCAGACTAAGCTGGCCTTTGAGGCAGGTGATGTGAGAAAAAGAGGCATTAACTTGTACTCTGAAGGCAGAGACTGAGGGCTCTGAAAAGAAGAGTTGACATGGAACAGAGTGGTTGTTTTAGGGTAAAGAGGGGCAAATGAAGAAAAATGGTCAAGCTCAAAACCCCATTTTATTTATTTGTCATCCTTAACATGAATGCTTGCCAACAATATCGCAGGCAACCTAAAGTCAAATAAGACAGTTCACAGTTGACAAGAGATTAAAAAAAAAAAAGAGGGAGCAGACTCCATTTATTAAAGATGGAATGAGGCTTGTAATGGGAAACCTTAAAAGAAATAAAATTTTAATATAGCATGTACACTTTGTACAATCCTAAGCATATAAATGTGTACATTTAATTCTCAAAACAACCCTATGTGGTAATATTATTATTCCCATTTTACAGGTGAAAAAACTGAGGCACTGAAAGATTAAGTTTGACTGAGATTTCATGGGTAGGAAGTGACAGAGCTAGAATTTTCTAAAAAATATTTTTATTGATTTCAGAGGAAGAGAGAGATAGAAACATCAATGATGAGAATCATTGATTGGCCACCTCCTGCACGCCCCCTACTGGGGATTGAGCCCACAACCCAGGCATGTGCCCTTGACTGGAATC